CGCTAACTCAAATACTAATGCTAATTAAGGAAAAGAGGACGTATGGGAGCCAACCACCCATCCCTTGGCATTGGGAGGATCCCAAACAGTCAAAAAGTATTTAACAGGTAGACAGTTTGGCTCTCTTTCGTGTCAGTGCCAAAGGGTGGCATGAAGGAACGCCGTCATCATGCTTATATAAAAGCGCAGAGGTTTCAAGTTTCTCTATAAAAGACATCAAATGCTATTGAAGCTATTGGCTTCTATTTTATATCTTAATTCAATAATGTAAATATGCTGAGATATGCCACATAAGTAAACTTCAGTTGTATAAGCAGAAATTTTGAGTAATCCCAGACAAAAGAAGAGCAGATACCAGAAATTAGATAAATAGATGAGAAGTATCAGCTATATATTTCATTATTTTCTTAGAAATCATTGAAGAAACGAGCAGGAAACAGCAAGAGTAACATTTTGAGTTGTACCGCGTGTGCTTGAAAACATGTTTTCAACCTATTTGCTTCAAGGTCATAAATATGTATGGAATGACAACTGCTTCCAGCAACAAGTTCTCGACCATTACTTGAAAATTCTATGGAAAATAGTCCAAATTCATCATCCTCCCCAACTGCAGAGAAGTCCAAACCATCATGAATCTCCTGCATGTAAAATGAACAATAGGCAGAATTACGGTTAAACATACGGAAGATGTAATAAACCTCTCAGCGAAAAATAGATTCCAACACCAGAATGCTTGCAAAGCTTAATAACAATGTAGGTAATGTCTTCCAGAAATCACCTAAAAGCAGACTCTAAAAGAATTCCTTCTAAATCTTCAATATTTCATTACAAACGCTTGCATTTTGCCAATTTGTTGAGGTAAAGAATCTTATTTTCATAGACTTCCCGATTGAAATTATTTCAACTGTGCAGGCCATAAGCTTGAAACCTCTGCCCTCGTAAGCCCAATTTATTACATAAACTAGAAAAAAATAGAGATCTTTTATGGGAGCTTCATTACAGATTTCAGGCCTTTGCAGAAATGGAGATGATAAAAAATAATGGAGCCTTTAGCTGATAGGATTTGATAAAAAATGAGTAAACCCAAGAATACTTTCGGTTGAATGAGAAAAGTTAATTCCGAAAAAAACAATTTGGACAAATTGGGTGACATCATAACGAACCTTGCCGGCTAGAATAGATTTCATACCATGCCCATATAATAGGAATAGCAGAAGGCTTGTGATAGAATTAGGTTTTAAAAAGATACACGTTATCCTTTGTTTTTGATTAATGAGGCGCTTTTACAAAAAATAAATTAATAAATAAATAAAAGTGAATAACCTCAATTTAATTTCTCTTTTTTTTTTTTTTTTTTTTCATAACAAAAATGGGCGGGCAATGTTTATCAATAACTTTTGTGAAAAAAATTAAGTATCAAGTTAAAAGATCTAAATGTGTTATTATGAGGCAGATATCCACTTACCAGCATTGGATAGCTCAATGCAAGAAAGATGCAATCGGCCAACCCGATAGTCACAACTATCCCAACAATAATTTCATAAATGAGCAAAAAAAAAAAAAAACATATCAAGCCATGGTTCCTATTTTTTCTATATATATGACTGAATCTAATTTTTGATGCAGTGTGTATATTTACATGTGTATTGAGATAATGATCAATTTGGAATCAATAAGCTCAATCTGAGGTCCTTAGCCTATTTGCTAGATCAATTGGGTTAACATTATATTTTTTAAGAGAAATTTGGAGTTTTATTATCATTTGTGTTACTTAGAGAAATGTCGAAATCATAATGCGGCTGACGCGGGATACGTCTACAGTTCGCGATTCAAATGCGGCGAGGGAAGGAGGCTCGGGATTTGTTCCGCGCGGGAATTGTTCCGCACGGGATTCGCGATTTCGCGATCCCGCCGTTTACAGAGGATCCGCGGGATTCCGCGATCCTGAGACCTTGTGACGCAAGGAAGATGAGATTTTTACCTCGTAATTGCATTAGCGGGATACTGCCGCTATTCTACCAGAGCCAGGCCATTGTAGGCTATTGCTTCAATTAGAATTATGGTTATTTTAAGAGTGGGCAATTTATATCTTGTTGTTTCCTAATTTTTTAGAATTTTGGATTTGGTTTGTATGTTTTGGAGATTGTATCGCTAATTTCTACCATAATGGAGTGATGTGTCTTTTATTTGCTTTTACAAGTGGTGTTTAGATGGCTTGTGCGAGAATGGGTTGTTAACTCCATCAATATCCGTACCTCATTGCTTTGATGTTATCTTTATTGTTTTCAGTTGGAACAAAAGTCGAACATTATTTCTCTCTCTACAAACGCTATCGACCGCCCCTATTATCGTCCCATGGTATTCCACAAACATCTACCCGCTAAATCTGCTTCACAAATAACTTCTCGGAACCCTAAAATGATATTATTTGGTATCAGTCTGGCAAGTCCTAAATCTTTAGGGTATCATCCTTGCCCAAAACCAAAATTCCAAACATAATCTAAAACCACAACAAAAAAATGTTTCTATAAATCATTCATACTGCAATCTCTATCCCCAACCCTAACATTTTTGTAAAATACAACTTTCCTACAAAAATTTCACCCCAACATCTACCCCTAAAACCTAAACCCCTAACCAACGATAGTTTGCAATCATACATCAGCAGAAAATGTGATCGGAAGGCCACCAAAGAGAAATCCTCAGTAAAATGTCCAGGAACTTACCACGGAAGTTATGCAGTAGAAAATCCTCCAAATGTAACAAAAGCTTGTCTATCGCCTTTAAAAGGAGACAATTTGGTGAGATCACCCATAACCACAATTTTGACTCATCAAATCGAGAGGAGGCGGTGAATCATCCTACCAGCAATTCCAGTGACAAAGAACCACTACCTCGACTAATGTCAAAGTTTATCAGAGTTTACCAAAACCATGACACAATACAATTTTATTAATGACTTAAACAAAAGTTACGGTGAAGACTCAAAGAAAGAATGACGACATAAAAAAACAAAAAGGTAAACCAAAGGATTACACGTAAAGACTAGACAAAAGAAAAGGCAACAAGCTTGACGAGGAGGGAGCTCGGGCGGTGGTGCAAGGTAGGTAAAGGTGATGAAGACCAAAGAGGTGCCTTGCTACTATGGAAGGGAAGGGCAGCGATGGTAGAAGCATCGAATAGCAATTGGAGGGAGCTTAGAAGAGCAATAGTGGCTGCGGCCGGTAGGGAAGCTGCATGAAGGAGGCGCGGCTTGCTGGAGGAGGGAGATGAGTAGCAGGAAAAGGTGGCAGGAAGGCTGCTTTTGATGTGAGAGAGGGACAGTGGGGGCTGCAGCCTCAAGGAAGGTACAAGAAGGAGGAGCGACTTGTTGTCTGCTGGAGGAGGGAGATGACAGCTGGTAGAGGTGGACGGAAAGTTGTTGTTGTTGCGAGAGAGGGGCAGCAGAGGCTGCAGCATGCAGGGAGCTGTAGGGAGGAAATCCGGCAAACAGTGGCAGGCTGGAAAGCTGTTGGTGGTTGTGAGGAAATGCAAGAAGTGGTTGGGGTCCGCTGTAGGAGCTGGATAAGTAGTTGATAGCAGTTGATGGGATGGACGGAGAGATAAATATCTTGGCGGGGTCGAGCTACAGTCGGAGTACCGCCCGATCCGCGGAGACGAACACCACCTCGGACAAGGGACAACCGAAGCACTACCTTGATGTCGGATACAAACCTCAAGAGGGAAAACACTCAGACAAAACTGAATTCAGATTTCATAAGAATTTGCCCCTAACTCCAAACACAACCTCTCCTATTTATAAAGAGACATGACTTATCTTAGGAAATATTTAAAAGATGGAGAATAAAAATCATATTTCAAATTTTAAGAAATGCTTTTTAAAATAGAAAAGGAGAATAAAAATCAGATTTCATATTTTAGGAAAAGATTTTATAAAATAAAAAGAGAGAATAAAATCAGATCTCATATTTTAGGAAAAGGATTTAAATTTAGAAAGTGTTTAGGAGGGAAAGGTGAGGGGGGAGAGAAAAGAAAGGTGAGGAAAAGGAAAGAATGACAAAAAGGAAAGAGTAGTCCCAATCTGTCATGGTACCTAGATCATCTCCCGAGCCCTGCATCAGTCTCCTGCGGTTAAGGAAGCTTCGCCTCATCAGTCGAAACTCTGGTCCCTTGCCTTTAATCATGGCAGTACCTGGATCCCATTATCGACTGTACTATCTCTTAAAGCATTTGTGAGTGTACCTCCATCTCAGTCCAATCTCCTGAAACTTAAATCTCTGGCTTGGTGGTGGCCATGGGGGTGGAGCATCGATTATCACTAAGACCAGTCCCGCTACTTTGCTGGCGAGGGTTTTTGTCTCCTCGGGCTCTATCGAGGATAGTAGAATAAAGTGTTTGTCGTCCTTGGTGAAGGAATACGTGTTTCTGAATACATCGTGCTGAGTCTTCTGGTCAAATTGTCCCGGTCTCCCTAATAGAAGGTGGCAAACATCCATGGAGATCACATCACATCATATATGATCCTGCAACTAGCTCCCTATTGAAAACTCTACTATGCATTGCTGGCAAATTTTAATCCTGCTTTTCTTCTTCCGCCACGTCAGTGAATATGGCTGGAAATGCCTCTGAGTGATGAGTCTCAGTTTCTCTACCATCTGAATTGATGCAACTTTCTTGCTGCTACCCCCGTTGATGATAAGCCTACATACAATTTCGTTCACTGTGAAGCGGGTGTGGAAAATGTTGTGGCAAAGCCATTGCGGATCCCTTGTGTCCTTAACCTGCAGAATCCGTCAAATCACAAGTGTTTCCCACTCATCTGGTGGAAGTTGATGTTCCTCACCCTGTTCCTCAGCTTCCTACTCCTCAGTAACCTCCTCCACCATGCCCTACTCGGTAAAAGATAAAACTATGCTCGTTGGGCAGCAGGAGGCTATGTGCCTAAATCTGCGGTATCTGAAGCATTTTCTGGCGGGCATAGTAGTTGGCTTTTTTTCACTGGGGGTGGCTTTCTTAGTATCCAAACAAATTTTGTCAACCTTCTGCGTCGTGTTCCTGCTAGTGCCTCCAACTGTGGTTGTCTGCCTAGCTGGTGGTGGTTGTCGACTCAGCTTCTGCGGCCTTCACACTTTCAATGCTAGTTTTTGGACATCTCCCAGCATCCAATATGGTTGTAGCTACACCACAATGCTAAAACTAGGCTTCAAGCCCCCAAGATATATGGCTATTGTATTCTCGTCAAGCTCTGTCAGGTCACACTTCAGCTATAAGTGGTGGAACTAAGTTGTGAACTCCTCCACGGAAAAATCGCTTTGTTGTAGATTGTGGAGTTTCAAAAACATGACTTGACGATAATGAGGGGGAAGATATTCCTTTTGCATGGCTTTCTTTATCTTCTCCCACGTAGTAATTTTTTCGTTTTCTCGTCTCCTCTGTCGTTGTACGTTCTCCCACCATAGGGAGATACTTTTCTATAATTGACCTGCCGCTCTTCGGGTACCTCTTTGTATTCGAAAATCCGCTCAACTGCCTGTAGTCATTCAATAAATTCATCTGGATCCATGCTCCCCTCAAATTCGGGCAAATCTACCTTGATCCTGTGGTCTTGGTGTCTTTCAAGGGACATCTCTTCTCGGAA